TTGTATGTAAAGAACACTTACAATTAAATAATAAAAAGACAAATCATCCAATTTTTAAAATGGGCAAATAATTGAAACAGGACATTTTTCCGAAGAAGAAATACAAAGCACATGGAACACACTTTTTAAAAAAAATTTATTTATTTATTCTGAGAGAGAGAGAGAGAGAGAGAGAATGAGAATCCCAAGCAGGCTCTGCACTGTCAGCACAAAGCCCAATGCAGGGGTCTATCTCATGAACCTTAAGATCATGAACTAAGGCGAAATCAGGAGCTGGATGCATAACCGACTGAGCCACTTAGGTGCCCTGAAACACACTTTTAACGTCATTAGTCATTAGGGAAATATAAATCAAACCACAGTGAGATATCACTTCATATCCACTAGGATGGCTATAATCAAAAAGATAAGTTTTGATGAAGATGTGGGGAAAATGAATCCATACCTTGTTGGTGGGATTGTAAAGTGGAGTAGTCCTTTAGAAAAGTTTGGCAGTTCTACAAATAAACATACAGTTACTATATGATGCAAAAAGTTCCACTCCAAGCTATGTACATGTACCCAAGAGAACTGAAAACATATCCACACAAAATCTTGTATGCAAATTTTCATAGCAGCAATATGCTTAATAGCTAGAAGTTGGAAATACTCAAATGCCTACCAACTGATGAATATATAAAACATAACATGTCATAGAAGGGATTAGTTTTCAGCAGTAAAAGGGATGATGCATGCTACAATGCAGAGGACCTTGAAAACATTATGCCAAGTGAAAGAAGTCAGTCACAGAAGATCACACACATGATTCTATTTATATGAAAAGCCTATCATAGGCAACTTGATAGGAAGTAGATTAGTGTTGTCAAGGACTGAAGTAGGCTAATGGAGGAGTGACTGCAAATGGGCAGGTAGTTCCTTTTAGGGGGTAATAAAAATTTCTAAACTCAGATTATGGGGATGATTTTGCAACCCTGTAACTGTACTAAAACCATTGAATTGTACACTTTCAACAAGGGAATTTTATGATATGTAAATTATATCTCAACAAATGTGTAAAAACCAAAACACAATGTATAAGTGATGTCAGAAAAAAAAAAGATGTATGCTTATGGAGTGCATTGAGTGAAAATGAGTAGATAAGAAAACAACTTTCAACTCATTGTCAATCCTCTTTCACTGCCACCCTCACCCACTCTTCTCCCATAATACTTTGGATCAAATATGATTTCAACTGTAAATATTTCATCATGTTTTAAAAGTAATTCTTTTAAAACACAGACTCATCATCAAAACTAAACAAATTAAACATATTTCCTTTAGGTGCTCCTAAAAAGCAAGAGGTGATTATTTTTTTTATTAAAAAAATTTTTTAATGTTTATTTTTGAGAAAGAGAGAGAGACAGAGCACGAACGGGGAAGGGGCAGAGAGAGAGGGAGACACAGAATTCAAAGCAGGCTCCAGGCTCTTAGCGGTGAGCAGAGCCGACACAGGGCTCAAACTCATGAACTGTGAGATCATGACCTGAGCCAAAGTCAGATGCTTAACCAACTGAGTCATCCAGGTGCCCCAAGCAAGAGGTGATTATTACAGGCATGCGCAGGTAAATGTTACATTCACTTGTTGATTAATTAAATAACTTACTCATTAAGCACACTTTAGTGTTAATGTGCCGTGCACTTAAGTAAGGACTGGGCACAAAAAGAAAAGTGAATTGGTAAACCTTTTTGCAAGTTGAGGAAGTAGGAAGATAACTTCCAAAAGGGGGAATTAACATTGGAGTGCCCACTCTGTGCTGGGGTGATTATGTCATTTAATAACTCACGATTGTGTAATTTGTTGTCTTCTTCTTGCAGATAAACAGATGGGGTGTCGGAACTGTCAAGAATGGGCCCCGAGCCAGTCAGTAGTAAAGTGGACATTCTGTCCAGATCTAAGTGTAGAGTTTCTCCTCTCGTCACTGCACTGTGTTCCAGACACCTGATAGTCACTCTCGAAGCACATGTAGAAGTTTGCTGAGGATGCAGGGACATGGTCTAGAATCCACTATACGTGTCTCAGGTATTAGAGCAGAATTGAAGTCTCCCAACATTCTCACCCCATATGTATTACCTCTGCCTGTCAGCTTAGCCTTCTTTGTGCTTTCTAGGTGAGCTTTCCTTGCTCTTTCTGGGCCTCCCAGAGCTCCTGTCTTTGTCATAATTTGAGTTACACAGAAATGCGGACTTGACTCTGTAGTACCAAATCCACATCATTGAATCTAATCAATTTCGCCTGGGTTAGGGCTCTGTGCTTGGTTCAGTTGATTCTGGTTGGGCCTATGGTTGCCTCCTGGTATGGTGGTGGGGCAAAAGTTCCCAGTGAGAGGCAGGGGTGGAAAGGATTGTCGTCTTCAAGTCTAGGCAGACATTTGGAGTGTTAACCACTATGGGTTCTAAGTGAGCTCACCTCAAAGGGAAGCTGGGGTGGTCATCTACATTATTGAAACTGAAATCTTATTTCTTCACCATATTAATATTGAACAATATTCAGTGTTCTATTCATATGCACCTTGCTATTTTTTTTAAAGTAACAATTTGAAGGCCATGTAATCACATTTTGAATGCAGGAGGAAAAGATTTTTCTGCTATATATAACTTATGCATAAATAACCAAATCCTTTTTAACACTCATGGGTAAAAATTAGCTCAAAGACACCTGCAAAGTTGTATCAGGTTGTTTTACCTAGTGTATATTCATTTTGAAATAATAGCTGATTTTCAGATAACCAAATCAAAACAGAATAGTCTTAAACCAAATTGCAACCTACATTCCAACTTACTCATAGTACGAGTACTTTTTTTGTGTCACCAAATACCAAATTGTGTCTTTATTGGAAATTTCACATTCCTCAATACTATGTATTTCCAGTGACATCATTAGCTAACATGGGGCTTAAAAAGAACACAAAACGCTGCATGCCTTTCCAAGCCTTAGCTTTGCTAGTAAGCAATTCAATTACACTTCTGCCAAAGTTTGTTTAAAGGAATGTAATTGTGAAAGTTTGTTTAAAGGAATATAATTCTTGATCTTACACAGTTTGGAGCATAAGCAAATCTCACTGTATACAAGAGAGGCCTACATCACAGAGGAGGCTGGAACTTGAGAGGTGCCCAAAGTAAGGCTAAATGTGGCTCCCGGATCCAGCTGGAAGGTAGATGTCAGACATGGAAGGCATCATGGCTACACTTTATGCACCAAAATGTCAGTTCTCTCAAGCAAATGACATTCTAGGTCCCAACTGTCTGAAGAAAGCAGTGAAGGAATTTGCAATGCCAATTCATGGACTAAAAAACCCCAAAGAGACAGTGTCTAACAGAAAAAGAGTAGGCATAAAAATACAATATGCAGTTAAATATATTTAATAGAAATATTAAAATAATCATTACATTTCCTCTCATTGCTGAAGCCATGAAAGAATATCACTTTTGTAATCAAAGTAATAATTTTTTTATCATGCAAAAAGGTATTTTTGTTATTACATTCATAAGCAGCGACTGTATTTCAAAACAAGTTTATATAGACTTCAAAAAGGCCTAGACTTAAAGTGAAATTTATTTAAATACTAGTAGTTACATAGTATGCTGCTGGCATACACATCTTCACAGTTCATAAAGTAAAAAAGCTAAACTTTTAAAGTCAGCTCTGAAATGGATGCATTTTCATTAATACATTCACTAGTTAAGTCTGTTCTTCTAAAACAGGAGGAAAGACAGAAATAGGAGATATTCTTTAAAGAACAAACTCAACATGTCAGCAGCAAATTTCAGTTAAATTGGAAACAAATGTTCTGAGTAACCAAAATATAAAGTCAGTTCACCAGCTGAGACTGAAAATTAGGGTATAAATTGGAAGGCTTAAGAGAACTTTACAGAGCATACTGTGTGGTGATTTTTCCATCAAATAAATATTAAAAATGGAATTCTCAAATTTATGATTTAGGAACACAATTTTGATCTAGTCTATAAAATATACTCAGAGGAATCAAAGGCAGGTACCACCATCAGCTAAAGTTATTCACAAGACCTGTGGAACCATGACCCCGGCCTCTAAGGTGTCTTCCTGAAGCTCCTTGTGATGGAGTTCATGGAATGGCATGTCTGCTGGGCCACGGGAAGCACCACTCTCATATTAGATACAATGCTAATGACAGAGTCAATGTGTTGATAAGTTTTTACTAGGGGAGATGGAAAGAATTCTCAAAACAGATTCATGGCTTAAAAGTGGATGAGTCCCCTCAAGAGCCTGGAGAGACATCATGAAATCACCCCGAGGTAATGAGCTTGGTCCCCTACGTTCATGTTCCGTGTCACACCAGCCAACAGTAGAGTCTCTAACAACATAATGAGTTTTGAGATAATATACTTTAGAGGAAAAAAAGGACAGTTCATTTTAAAGTAATTAAACTGTATTTTAGTTTCATAATTAACTGCACATATTTGCTTTATAATCTCTTAATAAACATGTCAACTTTACCAATAAAGTATTTTCCTTCATATTCTAATTAACAAGTTTTCTTTAACAATTTATAATAATAATCCATCTGCAAGTCTGATCTTGCAATAAACAGTCTTGTAACATTATTTTAAAAACCTAAATTCCAGTTGGTACTGTACCAAAATTTAACTTCAAAATTCACAGTACTGCCCAGAAACAGGCGGGTCCTGAGGTTCTACAGAAGAAGGGAGTGACTTCGTTCTTGGTGTTTTCATCTGGTAGCACACATGGGAGGTCACAGAGTCAAAGGGCTGTGGACTAGTATCAACACTTCAGGCTGCTGTACTTACTTCATACTTTTACTTCAAGCAGAGACTTTTAAAATACATCTGACATAGATATGTATAAATATATGTAGATGTGAATATATACACACACTATTGGACAAAAGAATGACAGCAATGTATGTGAAACTTTTTTGCCAAATGGGTTCTATTTGGTAAATAAATAATGTTTTCCTGTCAATCTATCGAAGTCCAGACCAACTATGCAGATAGGATGCCCAGCCAGAGGAACGGGAAGCATTTTCTTCCTCACCTTTGGAAAGTTAAAAAAGAAAAAAAAAGGCATTAATCTTTTCATACCATACTTTGACATTACAAGTATGTTCTTGAACTTTCAGTATTTGCTTTCTCCATTAGACAATTCCAAAATAAACTCCCCAGCACAACTAAGTATTATTGACAATAAGGGGAATTTTTACATTCTTTTAAAACAGAAGCCTTACATAACTTAGAATCTAAACCCAATAGTTTTGTGGTAAACCTCAAAATGAAACCAAGACAAACAAAAAATCATTGTTTTTAATCATTAAAAAAATTTTTTTTAACGTTTATTTATTTTTGAGACACAGAGAGACAGAGCATGAACAGGGGAGGGGCAGAGAGAGAGGGAGACACAGAATCTGAAACAGGCTCCAGGCTCTGAGCTGTCAGCACAGAGCCCGACGCGGGGCTTGAACTCACGGACCATGAGATCATGACCTGAGCCGAAGTCGGACGCTTAACCGACCAAGCCACCCACGCACCCTGTAATCATTTTAAAATCAAATACACTGAGGTATAATTTACTCATGGTAAAATTCATCCTTTTTAGGTATAACACCACCATCCCTACCTTTTTGCCTTTTCTAGAAAGTCATAAATTTAATTACATTGTGTATCTTTGGAGTTTAGTTCCTTTCACTTAGGAGGATGCATTTGAGAATTGTCCATGTTCCGTGTGTATCAGTAGTTCATTCCTTTTTACTGCTGAGTAGATTCCTCTGTGTGGCTGTACCAGACTAGTTTGTTTTATTCATTTACCAGTGAAGGATATCTGAGCTGTTTCTATTTTTTTCCAATTTAAAATAAAACTGCTAAAAACGTTTGTGCATGGGTTTTTAATTTTAACATTTATTGAGAAATGATCTGCATACCATAAGATTCACCCTTTTAAAGTGTATCATTCAGTGGTTAGGTTTGTGCAGTTTGTTGTGTGAACAAAGGCTTTCATTTCTCTTGGATAAATACCTCTGAGTGGGATTGTTATTATACAGTAAGCATGTTTAACTTTATAAAAAAATGCCAAACTTTTCCCAGGGGATATCATTTTGTATTGAGTGTTCTAGTTTCCTTTTATCTTTTTTATGATCAACACAAACAAATCCTGTCTTAAAATTCAGAAAAATTCTGGGCTTCCAAGAAAATTTCAGACAAGGCCTCCTTTATTGTTGTCTTCTTACTATGACTTGAATATTAATATGTATGATTTGCAAGTTTTACAACCTTAAAAAAAGTGAACCCCTCTTCTTATTACATGTCCTTTGCCACCTTCCCACTTCTCCCCAAAAGTGATGACTATTAAATTCAGTATACTCTCTCCCAGATGCTCTTCTGTGTTTTCAAGCATGTATAATGTATCACAAGTGGATCTCATGCAGAAAGGCATTTTCAAAATTTTAAATAGAGGAACTTTATTTTATTATTATTTAACCTTTTAAAAAATGTTTATTTTTGAGAGAGAGAGAGAGAGAGAGAGAGAGAGAGACAGAGGGGGAGTGGGGAGGGGCAGAGAGAGACGGAGAGACAGAATCCCAAGCAGGCTCCACGCCATCAGCACAGATCCTGCCGTGGGACCGGATCTCACAGGTCATGTGAGATCATGACCTGATCTGTGTCTCAGATCTGGCAGGACTCTGCCCCATGCAGACAATGTTCTGGGCAGCTGTTTTTTTTTTTTTTTTTTAATGTTTATTTACTTTTGAGAGAGACAGAGACAGAATGCAAGTGGGTTAGGGGCAGAGAGAGAGGGAGACACAGATCCGAAGCAGGCTCCAGGCTCTGAGCTGTCAGCACAGAGCCTGACGCGGGGCTCGAACGCACGAGCCGTGAAATCATGACCTAAGCTGAAGCCGGCTGCTCAACCAAATAAGCCACCCAGGCACCCCTGGGGCAGCTGTTCTTCTCTGGTAAACAAGGACCACAGAAAGGCTGAGATAGGGTGTATTTGCTCCTGCACTGAGTAATTACTCTCTTCTGATAAAATTCTACATCCTCTTCAAACCAAATCAGGCCCGTACAGTGAGTATGTGAGTGTTCTCTTCCTGCCAGTCTGGAGATGATCAAAAAAGCTGCACGGTCTTCACCTTTTTTCCTATTGAATTGTTAGCCTTTTTCTTTCTTTTTTTTTTTTTCTTAATTGAGGTAAAATTGGTTCTTCTATTAGTTTTAGGTATTTTTCCTCTTTACTTACTTCTATAAAGTATTAGATTTTGGCAACACTGTACAGTAAGGAACAATACACAGTTCTGCAAATTATAACCTAGTTGGGGAGTAAAGATGTAGAGAAGCAAACTTTGCTCTTACTTGAGCAGCCAAGTTGAGATTCTAGTCTTTCAAAGAGAAGCACGATATGACCAACAACCTGCTTACCTCAAGTTGTGGCTCAAGAAGAAGAGAAATCCGCAGCCTGTGAATGGTGCTGGGATCCAACATGAGGGAAGCAGGGGAGTTAACATTTGCACCACATGCAGAGCAACAACCTATGCTACTGAGCAGTATTTCTTCATGTTACTTGTTTGGGGACTAACGTAGCACTTTGTGTTGTTTTGCCTTATGTAGAGATGTGACAGGCAGCTTTGAGTAGCTAATGACACTTGCCCGTGGGGCAAGTTGGGTCCTTATTGGGTGCTTATTACAAGGAGTTGGACATCACCTGTCAGAGGTAGAAAGCCTACTTTATCCCCTAAGTTAATGTTTCTCAAATATTTGTGACCCAGATGCACAGAAAGGCAAACATCTGTCTGATACAGTCAGACAGAAACCAACATTCACACATATACCCAGGGAACTTCAAGAAACAATTCTTACCCTTATCAGATTCAAGATAGTCTGATGTTTGTCTCATTGTCTCAATTAAAAAAAATGTTCTGTATGTGATTTACCAAATTAATTTCAACATCCATTAGTGATTACCAACCTGAATGAAAAATATTGGTATAATCTCTACACAAAATCAGAGTATAAACCCTGCTTCAAAGGAGATGAAGGGGGCAAGAGGTACTTGTGTTCTTTGCTTTTATGGTCCCATTCCTTTCACTGTCAGGAAGAGCAGCCCTTAGACCCTCTCTTCTGGTACTCTGGACATCTGTAACGTGGTCTATTGTTTCCAAGTCCTGGTAAATGTCCTTGGTCTGGCTGATGGGGCCCAGGACCCTTTTCCGTAGTGTGGTGACAGGTTTCCTGTGCATGGCATTCCTTCTTGTATCTCTGACCTTCTACTTACCTTTTCCTTATACATGAAGTACATAGTTGAGCATTTCCAATGGAGGTGAATTCTTGAAGTTTCTATCAGAAAAGATCTTGAGAAATATTTTCTCAAGGTTCAGTTATTGTTTTTTTTTAATGTTTATTTTTGAGAGTGCACATATGCGCAGGAGCAGGGGAAGGGCAGAGAGGTGAACAGAGGATTGGAAGCTGACTCTGCACTGACAGCAGACAGCCTGACGTGGGGCTTGAACTCATGAACTGCAACATCATGACCTGAGCTGAAGTTGGACGCTTAACTGACTGAGCCACCCAGCTGCCCCAAGGTTCACATTTATATCTTATAGCATGTGAAAGACAGTACTCCACCAATGTCACGGAAAAGTACACTGTGAGCCTATCACTCCTTTAAAGGTAATGAGGTAATGGGTCTTCTTTTGAGACTTTTCTCTATTCTTTTAGAGGGCATTTTCACTTTTATGTGAAGAGGTACACTTCCTTTTATTTATCCTACTTGAAATTGTATTGAGATTTTTCAAATGTGTGGAGGGATGTCCTTCAGCAGCTCTGAAAAATTTTTAGCCACTCTCTTCAATACCATCTCTACCTCATTCTTTCCTGTCCTCTCCTTCTAGAACTTCAATTATTAAATATATGTTAGATGTCTTCATTCTATCCTCTACATCTATTACTTTTCTGGGTTTTTTTCCCTCCATTGTGTTTCCATGCTGAATTCTGAATGATTCCTTCTGACCCATCTTCCAGTTTAATAATTCTCGCTTAAGCTGTATCTCTAGCTGCTGCCAGACTACAGCTGTTTTTAATTCAATTTTTATAAGTTTTCTTTTGTTTGTTCACATAGATAAGAGATAAGTGAATAATCTTTATAACGTATAGTAGTTTAGGGAATTTTCGTATACGTTTACGGGACTTAGCAAAAAACCTGTATTAGAGTTCTGGGTTTCTAATGAGCTTCTTATATATACCCTGTGGGATGATCACTAACATCTGTGTTATCAGAACCCTTAAGTTAGTCTCTTTGAGATCTTTTAATCAACAGGCACTCAACTTACAGGAGCCACTTGAATGTAACACCTACATAACATTAAATATCTGGGCCTTAAAAAAGACTGTTAGATATGCTAAGTATTTTGAGATCATTTCATTGAAGTATGTTTTAATTTAAAAATACACATGTCATTCCTAAAGTCCTGGCTAATTTTACAATGAAAAAAATAGTTTTAACTTTGGTAGAATAAACAAAAAGTAATATATAAAAGCAAATTTATTATCAGGATAACTAAATTACAAAAAATGTACATTATGTATTCTTATTTTGGTTCTTGTGACAAAAATACAATTGTAGCTAAGGTAATGTGCCCTACAATTAGCAGAACTGAGGTTACTTGAGAATCTTCCTCCCTCATCATTACTCAGATATATTGTAAGACAACATTTTGAAAGAAACAATCAGCACTATGTATGAAGTATTTCTGCAAAACCAAAACCAACCAACCAAACAAACAAACAACAAACCCCGAATCGTATCAGTCCTCTAGATCAGGGGTTCTCAAGGTATGGTCACCAGACCAGGTCCCCAGAGCATCAGTATCATCTGGGAACTTGTTAAAAATGCGAACTCTTGAATCTATTGAATCAGAAACTTGGTGGGGAGGGGGGTGTCCAGCAATCTGAGTTTTAATCATTGCACCAGATGATTCTGATACCTGCTCAATTTTGAGCACCACTCTCCAGCATTACCAGTTTAATCAGGACTTATAGGGAATAGAAGAACATGTTAAAGAGCACCAACATGAGGTAAACCAGTCAAAAGTGGGACAACTGGACATTCTGCGCTTACTGATACGATGTCTCAGAAATTATACAACATTACCTATGAGGTATTTTTTGTTTCCCACCCCACCCATTTACACCTGGATCTAATCAGAGATCTAACTTCCTATTTACAGGCAATAATGGAACAAGTTAAATGCTATCTCCAAGTGCCAAATTCAGAACTGAGCTTCTGTAGGAAAATGACCAGTTTCTTCAAATAATAATCGACATACTACAAAAAAGAACATGGAAATGCTATAGATAATAACAAGAAGACAAAGCTTAAGGGACATCAACCAGATACAGTGTGTGAGCCCTATTTGGGATGCTGTAGAAAGACATCTGTGATAATGGGAACACTGAGGGTGAACTTGGTGTAGACAGCAGAGGGGTCCAATACACAGCAAATATTTGCTGGGGAAATCATATGATGTGTGGAACTTGTTTTAAAATCTCTAGCTCTGCTCTTCCCCTGTCAAAAGAAGTCTGACCATGAGTTGAAAACTGTTAAAGATGACTGAGAACTATAAGGGACATGACAGTATTCTGCCTGCATGCTTGAAAGGGTCAGTGATAAAAACATTTGAAACTAACAAAAATTAAACCATGATCCTTAAGACGCAGTCTTAAGTCAGGTAACTACAGCAGCTATATGTGCATCATTTTAAAGGAGTTAATGAAATCACAGTATTAAATCTATTTGATAGAAAATCTAAACTGCAAACACAGGACAGCTTTAAAGCTGAATGTTCCTTAAGAAATGGACTGTTGGGTATGATATGGACCAAGTGTTGAGCCATATCATTGTTGCCTTGAGACTCTTTGGGGGAAAAGAGGTAAAGGTGGACATGAAGCAAGAAAGACTAAACCAATACAAGTTAAAAAAAAAAAAAGTATCATATAAAATAAAACCACATTCTTTGATAGAATTCAATGCTAGAATTACAAGTCCACTATTCAAAAGATCTAACTAAACACTGTATTGTATTTTGATGCATCTTAAAATTACATAATGTTACCTTTTCAAATCTAGTCACAGGTTACACATATGATAGAACTCATATTTTAAGTCATAGTGTCATGAAAAAGATTGTAAGAGCACACACAAAGTCTCATCCACAAGGCCAGCATTTAGTGTAAGTTATGAAACAGAAGTTCTAATACTTTCCTTCACGTACCTTGAGCAATTGCAGCAAGTTTTCCCTTTTCTTCAGGGCTGAGCTGCAGCATTGTATCTATAACAGGAAGCAGTCTTTCTTTCTCACTACCTGGTTTCAGGAAAATGAATTGGAGCAAGACATTCTTCAAGTACTCCAGGTTAGCTACAGACTTTTCTCGTTCCTGATTTCTTTCCAGTCTTCTTATTTCACTTTTGAGGAGCTGATGTTAAATAAATGAGTTAAAAATGGTTTTAGGAGCTTTGGGTTAAAAATGGTGGACTGAACACATGCACTTTTCTTCCCTTCCTGCTGAAATGCCCCCCAAAAATGACTAAAAGAGAGTAGGAGAAAAGAAAAAAAGCAGATAGAAATATCAAGAAATTCCTAAAAGATGAGAAACAGAAAAAGTGGACAAGACTCAGTCCAGCAGCTTACCAACTACCACTGACAGGAGGACACAATGGATTCCACAAAAATACCAAGAAGCTCCTGCCTCAGAAGTACAGAGGAGCACGGAAATTGGGGCTGAAAATGGGGGACTGATATAAAGCCTACATAGGTTGGTACTATGGTGCTCCCTCCATCTCCTGTTCTCTACAGAAAGTAAACCAGTGGGCTCAGGGCTGTGGAATAAGACATGCTGTGAAGAGGGCAAGCCAGAGTTTGAAAACAAGGGCCACAAACCCCTTCCCTGCCCTGCTCACAGACTGCAGGTAGTCACGGTGTCCACAGTGAAGTTATGTTTACATGATGCACAGCATTTCACCAAAACAAAAGCCAAGTCCATGATAGAGTAAATATAAGGAATATAAGACGATCTAAGATATTACCAAAAAAAATGGGGCAAAGGGTGATAGAAAAGATGGCAAAATGTTAAAGTCTTTGGAGATTTGTGGGTTGAAACAGACAAAAATAGTTATACTTCATCATTTTATGTTAGTCCAGGAAAGTTAGCAAACTTGGTCCTAAAATCTACGGTCATTCTGAAAAGTGACAATAAGGTCCAAGAAATCATTCAGGAATGTAAATTTGTGGAAATATAACATTTGAATAGTCACTTAGACTCATTGGGCTAGTTAGCAATTTGTTATATGTGATAATGTTTGGAATATGTAGAAAATGTTATTTTATACAGATGCATATTACAATATTTAGAAGTGAATGTCATAGTATATACAATTTACTATGAATAATGTAATAACTCAGTATAAAACAGTTAACTGAACAAGGAGAGCTGAGGCTCTCCACCGAAGGACAGCCTATTTGGACAAGCATGTACAGGGCAGAAGCCATGTGCTCTCCAGACATACAAGAGCTGCAATGTTGCTCCCCACTTATCAGCTTCAATCATTTCTCTCATCAGTGATGTGAGGATTAAATGAGATGGTCTATGTAAAGCCAAGGGCCTGGCTCATGAGAATTGCACAATAAGTAATAGGACTATTTTTGGAGAAGTGACTTAGCAGTGAGCCTGGGTGCATTGTGTAACACTCAACTGCACCACAATCTATTACCACGTGTTTCTAGTGTCGCTTTTATTTATTTATTTTAATTTTTAAATTAAAAAAAAATTTTTAATTTACATCCAAATTAGTTAGCATATAGTGCAACAATGATTTCAGGAGTAGATTCCTTAATGCCCCTTACCCATTTAGCCCATCCCCCCCTCCCACAACCCCTCCAGTAACCCTCTGTTTGTTCTCTATATTTAAGAGTCTCTTATGTTTTGTCCCCTCCCTGTTTATGTTATTTTTGCTTACGTTCCCTTATGTTCACCTGTTCTGTGTCTTAAAGTCCTCATATGAATGAAGTCATATGGTATTTGTCTTTCTCTAATTTTGCTTAGCATAATACCCTTAGTTCCATCCACATACTTGTAAATGGCAAGATTTCATTCTTTTTGATTGCCGAGTGATACTCCATTGTCTATATATACCATATATATAGATGTATACTATATATACTTCTTTATCCATTCATCCATCGATGGATATTTGGGCTCCTTCCATACTTTGGCTATTATTATTAGTGCTGCTATTAACATTGGGGTGCATGTGCCCCTTCGAAACAGCATATCTGTATCCCTTTGGATAAATAGCTCATAGTGTAATTGTTGGATCGTACATAGTTCTATTTTTAATTTTTTGAGGAACTTCCATACTGTTTTCCAGAGTGGCTGCACCAGTTTGCATTCCCACCAGCAGTGCAAAAGAGATCCTCTTTCTCTGCCTCCTCACCAACATCTATTGATGCCCGAGTTGTTAATGTTAGCCATTCTGACAGGTGTGAGGTGGTATCTCATTGTGGTTTTGATTTATATTTCCCCGATGATGAGTGATGTTGGGTATTATTTAATGTGTCGGGTGGCCATATGGATGTCTTCCTTGGAGAAGTGTCTATTCGTGTCTTTTTCCCTTTTCTTCACTGGATTATTTGTTTTTTGGGTGTTGAGTATGATAAGTTCTTTATAGATTTTGGATACTAACCCTTTATCTGATATGTCGTTTGCAAATATCTTCTCCCATTCCATCAGTTGCCTTTTAGTTTTGCTGATTGTTTCCTTCGCTGTGCAGGAGCTTTTTATTTTGGTGAGGTCCCAACAGTTAATTTTTGCTTTTGTTTCCCTTGCCTCCAGAGATGTATTAAGAAGTTGCTGCGGCCAAGGTCAAAGAGGTTTTTGCTTGCTTTCTCCTCGAGGATTTTGATGGCTTCCTGTCTCACATTTAGGCCTTTCATCCATTTTGAGTTTATTTTTGTGTATGGTGTAAGAAAGTGGTCCAGGTTCAGTTTTCTGCATATTGCTGTCCAATTTTCCCAGCACCAGTTGCTGAAGAGACTGTCTTTATTCCATTGGATAGTCTTTCCTCCTTTGTCAAAGATTAGTTGGCCATACATTTGTGGTCCATTTCTGGGTTCTCTATTCTGACCATAGATCTGTGTGTCTGTTTTTGTGCCAGTACCGTCCTGATGATTACAGCTTTGTAATACAGCTTGAATTCTGGGATTGTTATGCCTCTTTTCAAGATTGCTTTGGCTATTCAGGGTCTTTTCTGGATCCATATAAATTTTAGGATTGGTTGTTGTAGCTCTGTGAAGAATGCTGGTGTTATTTTCATAGGGATGGCATTGAATATGTAGATTGCTTTGGATAGTATTGACATTTTAACAGTATTTGTTCTTCCTATCCAGGAGCATGGATATTTTTCCATGTTTTTGTGTCTTCTTCAATTTCTTTCATAAGCTTTCTACAGTTTTCAGTGTATGATTTTTTTTCACCTCTTTGGTTATGTTTGTTCCTAGGTATTTTATGGTTTTTGGTGCAATTGTGAATGGGATCAATTCCTTGATTTCTCTTTCTGTTGCTTCATTGTTGGTGTATAGGAATGCAAGCAATTTCTGTGCATTGATTTTACATCCTGCAATTTTGCTGAATTCATGAATCAGTTCTAGCAGTTTTTTGTGGATTCTTTTGGGTTTTCCATATAGAGTATCATGTCATCTGTGAAGAGTGTAAGTTTGACCTCCTCCTGGCCAATGTGGATGCTTTTTATTTCTTTGTGTTGTCTGATTGCTGAGGCTAAGACTTCCAATACTATGTGGTGAGAGTGGACAATCTGTCTTGTTCCTGAGGATGATATTAGCATTGGGTCTTTCGTATATGGCTTTTAT